AGGCCTCTAAGATTGTGATGTAGTGACACACAATTATTATTAGCTAATGTGTCTTAACTTCCAATATTAAAATGATGCATATCGCTTCAGATTTTGTTTCTAGCGCTAAGCGCCTCTAACATTACACAAGCACTTCAGGGAAAAGAAACTGAGTTTGCTGTTTGAGTTTTGTTGTGATCAGAACTGACCTCTGGATATCCTCCCACGTCGTGGACGTCGATGCCCAGCAGGTGACCCAGACCGTGTGGCATGAACACAGAGCCCAGATGAACCTTCAGCATCTCCTCCACGCTCCCACGCAGGATCCCCATCTTCAGCAGCTCCTCCAGGTGAACCCGGTCAGCCAGACGATGCATGTCTGTCCACTTCACACCTGAGTATCAGAGAAGAGTCAGAGACCTTTCTGAGCCGAGACGGTCATCAGATTGAGGTCAGAGGTCATTTCACAGCTGAGGATTCAGCGCTCAATCAAAGACGGGGTCTGTTTGTTCTTTCAGGAAGAGCATTCTTAAATAATAAATCTCAAATCTCAACATACACTACTGTTCAAAGTTTGGAAATGAAGAAATTAATATTTCATTCAGCTGGGATGAATTGTATTGATCAAAAGTGACAGTAAAGACATTCATAATATTTCAAACAAATGCTGTTCTTTTGAACTTTCCACTAATAAAGGAATCCTGAAAAATAAAATGTATAAATTTTCACAAAAATATGAAGCAGCACAGCTGTTTTCAACATTAATCAGAAAGCTTAATTTTCTTGAGCAGCAAATCAGCATATTAGAATGATTTCTGAAGATCATGTGACACTGAAGACTGGAGTAATGATGCTGAAAATACAACTTTGATCACAGCAATAAATTACATCTTACTATAAATTTCACATAGAAAACAGTTATTTGAAATTGCAATAATATTTCAAATTTTTACTGGATTTTTGATCAAATAAATGCAGCCTTGGTGAGCAGAAAGGACTTCTTAAATGTTAGCTAGGTGTCAAAACAAAACCAGACCAGCTCCTCCATACTGCGAACATGTCATTTTTTTGTCTCTGTAGTCTGAAAGCAGTTTTGGTTGTAGATTTTGACCGGCTGTGATTCCTCTGTGTTTGTACCTGGTTTAATGGCGGCCATCACGGCTCTGGAGGACTTCAGCACGGCTTCATAAATGGCTCTCTGGTCTGCGGTGAACTTGCCGTTGACTGGGAAAGAGCAGGTGATGTCGGAGGAGTAGCAGTAATACTCACCGCCCATATCAAACAGACTGCCAGGAAAACAATCAGACAGAAAAAGAAGAGTTTTCACAAGAAACGTTCCCTCCACACCAGCCTGAGTTCAGATCTAAAGCCACTTCTATGGTTTGGATTTAGTTTTATGATTTGGTGACAACATCAA